GACTGATTCTCTTGGATTTTCAAGGTATAGGATCATATAATCAGCAAACAGGGATAATTTGACTTCCTCTTTTCCTATTTGGAAACACCTGATGTCCTTCTCTTGTCTAATTGCTTGAGCTAGGACTTCCAACACAATATTGAACAAGAGGGGTGAAAGTGGGCAGCCTTTTCTTGTTCCAGTTTTCAGGGGAAATGTTTCTAGTTTCTGTCCATTTAGCAATATGTTAGTTGTGGGTTTGTCATAGATTCCACTTACTATTTTGAGGTATGTTCCTTCTATACCTAGGTGTTTGAGGTTTTTATCAAGAAGGGATGCTGAGTTTTATCAAAAGCTTTTTCTGCATCTAATGAGATAATCATGTGGTTCTTGTTTTTACATCTCTTGTTGTATTTAATGACATTTATGATCTTGTGAATGTTGAACCAGCCCTGTGTCCTGGGGATGAATCCTACTTGGTTATGGTGGATGATTTTTGAGATGTGTTTTTGGATTCAATTTGCTCGAATCTTGTAGTGAAATTTTGCATCTATGTTCATTAGGGGTATTGACCTGTAGTTCTCTTTCTTTGCTGGATCTTTACTCTGGGTATCAGTGTGATGTGAGCCTTGTAAAATGATTTGGGGAAAATTTCATCTTTCTCAATTGGCTGGATTGCTTTCAGAAGAATTGGTATCAGCTCCTCCCTGTATGTAAGGCAAATGTGGAGAAAAAGAGGATGAGCCCAGTGATTAAAGAAGATATATTAGAGGGAGAGGAAAGAAAGGCTGGCCTTAAAGAAGAAGCAGCAGATTTGTTCTCTTGCAGTCCCCTTATAAAATCCCAGGTGAGGCTTATCGGGCTCTCAGAAGCAGTTTAGACAGTTTGAGATGTTGGTCATAAGATGTCTATGTCTGCACTGCTGGGGGCTGCTGATAGCATGGCCTTGAAGTGCAGATGTCTGCACTACATCAGTCACTATCAAGATGTTAATCACCTGTCTCTGAAATGCAGTCTTAGGAAAGCAAACATTGATAGTCAGTACCAGGATGACATCAGTCACATAGCTTTGGGATGAGATCTCAGGAAAACAATTAGTAACAGATGTTGTTAGAGCAAAATGTTAGCTTTTTGGACCTTTGCAACTCTGTGCTCTATGTGCAAGGTTTACATGATGAGTTGTTTTACCTACAACCTCCTCTTCTATCTCCCTACAAACCCTATCACCTGCTTAGGGAGGGGCTTCTTGGCTCCCAAACAGTACATCTGTCATCTCTTCTCCCTACTCTCTGTGGGTCCCACTATTAGTCTGTAGATTGTGGGAGGGATGCATCTTGTATATCAACTTTCTCTGACTGTTGGGGGTCTCTGACTTCTCTGACTGCTGGGACTGTCTTTCTTGGTTTGCTCTGTAAGAGAGGTGCCAGTCTGCTGTTTCTAGATGGCCTTCTTGTCCCTCCCCTTGGCTACTTTTAAGTGTTCTCTTTATTATTGAATTTTAGAAATTTTGTTGTAATGGTGTGGTTTTCTTTAGGTTTATCCTGCTTGCAGTTCTTTGATCCTTATTCTTGGATTTGTGAGTTCATGGTTTTTATGAAATTTGGAAAATGTTTAGCTGTTATTTCTTTATATATTTTTTCTAATCTCTGGGACTATGATTAGAGGTATGTTAGACCATTTCATATGATCCCATAGGTCACTAATGTTCTTTTTTTCCCAGTTCTTTTTCTTTTTGTATTTTACTTTTGATAGTTTCTATTTGTATGTAGTCAAGTTCTCATTTCTTTTTTATTGTTTAATCTTTTGTTAACCTCATTTAGAATATTAACACAAATTTTTTTCCCATCATCTCATTCAGAATAGTTTTTACACATTGTATTTTTCATCTTTAAAGGTTACATTTGGATTTTTTTATATCTTTCATTTTTTTTCTCATCATGCTCATGATTTTCTCTACCTTCTGAACATATGGTGTATACTTATGATAGCTGTTTTAATGTCCTTGTTTGCAAAGTCCATTATCTGTGTTATTTCTGTGTCTGTTTCCCTTGATTGATTTCTTTTTTTTGGTTATGAGTTATATGTCCCTACTTCTTTGAAAGCTTGGCATTTTTAAAATTAAATTCTAGACATTATGAATTTTACTTTGCTAGGTGTTGGATTGTGATGAAATCTATTAAAAGATGTTGGGCTTTGTTCTGAGACACAGTTAACTTACTTGAGATTAGTCTGATTCTTCTGAGGCTTAATTTTTTGGATGTGATAGGTAAGGTTCAGAATAGCCTTTAAGGGTTAATTTAATTTCAATACCAAGGTGGTATGCTGTGAGAGCTTACCCTGTGGTCTCTGTATTATGATGTCTCTGCATTCTGGATGGTGGAAATGTGAACTACTCCCAGCCCCATGTAAGTTCTGGAATTGAACAGCCTTCTATTCTCTGGTGGTTCTTATCAGCCTCATAGATTTTTATTATAGGTATGTGTAGATAATTACTAAAATATTTAAGCTTATCCTATGTGTATCCCTGGAACTCTTTCTGTGTACAGCTTAATCTTTTATTGTACTAATGTCCTGCGAATTTTAGCCTTGGTAAACGTGAGTTAGATATGCACATGGTTGTATACACACATGATCTTCAGGCTTCTGCTTCAATTATCTTTGGACAAGTGTCAAGAGGTAACTGTGCCATAGAAGAAGAGTAAGTGAGTGTTAGTCATAATATCTTCCATTTGAAACCAACTTACAGAAGAATTGCAACAGTGTATTTTATGGTACTATTACAAAATACTGTAATGAATTCCTTATATTGTTTTACAAATACCCATATATACATCACTGTTATTATTATTACTGCAAATAATTTCAGGGTTCATAAAATGCTTCTTTGTGATATATCATGATAAGGAAAGGCATATGTTACAGTGGCTCTGGGCAGCTGCATGAACAACAAGCTGGCATCCTAAGTAAGCTTGAACTTTCTGGGCATTGACAACATTGGGGAATGTTGCATACCCAAATATGGAATTGGAAGCCAGGGTCATATGACTTCCCACAGGGATTTTCCTCTCTGCGTTGAGTTGGGAGAAATAATTTAGATGAGATCTGAGTTACCTGAATTCAATGAAAAAGGACTGAGTCAGAAAAATTGTACTCTATTAATTTTGGGTAATTTTATAGACTGGTGGTCTGTGGAATACTATTTAATTAGTGAGTCAGAACATGGGCCAAGGATTGGAGACTAGCAGTTGCATAGGTGTTGCCATATTAGGAGATGAACTTTGGTAACCATATGCCAGACAAGCAATACTGGATTCCTGCAAGGAAATACTGAATTCAGGAAACCCAGCACAACTGTGGAGAATTGGGTAAGGAGTTGTGAATAATTTTATTTGACTATTGATTTCAGTCTCAATTTACTTTTGGAACCAATTGTCTACAAGATAAAAAATGCGAGTACAAATATATGCATAATAAATGGTTAATTTAAAAAAACATGTCTCCATTGATCTCAAGCAGAAACTTTTGATCAGGAATGATTTTTTTCTTGCCTTAGAATTATACAACTTTATTTTATTGTTTGAGTATGAATGTTATTTCTGAGTATGAAAACCCTCAAATGGTTTGAATTTGGAGGATGGAATTGAGTCTAGAACACTTGCTTACTATATATACATTTGCATAATGTCTGTCTAAGATTTATTTTTTATTTTTATTTTTTTGAGTTGAAGTCTCACTCTGTCGCCCAGACTAGAGTGCAGTGGCCGCTCCTGGCCACCGCAGCCTCGACCCGCTGGGCTC